CTGTATTCGCAAAAAGAAAAGGAGGACTTGTGGCACCTTAGAGACTAACCAATTTATTTGAGCATAAGCTTTCGTGAGCTGCAGCTCACTTCATCGGATGCATTCAGTGAAAAATACAGTGGGGAGATTTATATACACACAGAACATGAAACAATGGGTGTTACCATACACACTGTAAGGAGAGTGATCACTTAAGATGAGCTAATACCAGCAGGACAGCGGGGGGGGGAGACCTGTGGCCATTTCCAGCAGTTAACAAGAACGTCTGAGGAACAGTGGGGGGGGGGGATAAACATGGGGAAATAGTTTTACTTTGTGTAATGACCCATCCACTCCCAGTCTCTATTCAAGACTAAGTTAATGGTCTTTTTGTTGTAATATTGCGACTTTTGTTCTTGTTAACTGCTGGAAATGGCCCACCTTGATTATCACTACAAAAGGTCCCCGTCCCCCCCTTGCTGGTATTAGCTCATCTTAAGTGATCACTCTCCTTACAGTGTGTATGGTAACACCCATTTTTTCATGTTCTGTGTGTATATAAATCTCCTCCTTGTATTTTCCACTGAATGCATCCGATGAAGTGAGCTGTAGCTCATGAAAGCTTATGCTCAAATAAATTGGTTAGTCTCTAAGGTGCCACAAGAAGTCCCATTAAGTTTCAAGGACCTTCCAATAGGACCCGTGTTCTTAAGTCACACAAAGGTGCTTTTAAAAACTCTACTGTAGAGTTTTAGCTGGCACAAAATTATGACACTTGGCAGCTTACCTTATTTAGCCACCTACGTATGGTCCCAATTTGCAGGCTCAGTCAAGGATTTTAGCTACTAAGGCCAACAATTTCAAGTGGAGCCTCTGATGTTCAGTGCCCAGTGGGAGACACTTTAGGTCTGGTTTTCAAAGTGCTGAGCATCGACTGCTCAGGTTAATGGGAACTGCAGGTGCTCTGAAATCAGAGGCCACTTTTGAAAAGTTTGCTGTGTAAGCTTCTTAAATGGCAGGGCAAAATTGCACCCACCAAATCTGGAAGCCAACGTATGAAAATCTAGTGCTGATTCGCCCAAGTTCACACAGCAAGTCAGGAATAAAACACAGGAGTCCCTCTAGTCCCCCATTTCCTTCCCCCTTGCTCTAAACCATTAGACAACCTACTCTTCCTAAAACATGGGTTCAATAATATGTAAACAACCACTCTCAGCCCTGCAAAGTCACCTCACCATCAACTCATCTGAGGACAATCTAGGCTCTGATCCAAATAGACCCTGAGTTTTGTGACCCGGGCTCTTTCTCTCCTAAGCCGTCCACTGCCACTTCCCTCTATAGATACTAAAGATACTGTCAGAGGATGGAGTCCCAGGGGTGTGGCACAGTTGCTCAAGTAAAATAGATGGAAAATGTAGCAGACACACTGGCTGCTGGAGTTAATAGGCTAATTAATCCAAAGTAACCGAGGGAGAGAGAGAGAGAGAGAGCGCGCCGGTACATAATGGTTTCTTCATGGCATGCTGGCTCCACTTACGCTCTTTGTTGGAACCTGCATACGCTAATAAACCCACCACTGTTTGCTCCCAGGATTATTCAGACCATCAACAGGGATGGATGGTTGATAGGAGCCTGCACCCCATTTGACAAACCCATGTGAGGGGAAAGTTTGTCATTAGGCAGATGGGCTGTGTTCTGTGCTACGATCACCACACAAGAGAGTGGGTTTTATTTACCACTCCCCCACTCTTTGCCTCCTTTTGTGCTCCATCGCTAGAGATTCATGGCTCCCTCCAATTCCACTGTGAATTCAAGTCATTTGAAAGCTGGGGGTGCAAGTTCTGCATGTACAGTGAAATATGACCAAACAATGCACACCCATATTGCTCTTTAATTATTTAGGGAAGCTTTTAATGTTCTGTTAGGCTGTAATAACTGCTTTACCCCTGAGCATGTCTATAGCATCAGTAGGCTTAGAGGGAGTTCATGAATTTTTTATGAATTTGGATGGAAAGCCAAATGTATTGCCAAGAGATTTTTCTTCCCTTGTGATATTTTTTTTGCAACAGGAGGAAATGGTACAAAGAAAAAAATTATACTAATTTGTTCCAAATGTAATAACTCTAGAAGATTCAGAAGGACAATCAAGTGATGGGTTTGCATATTAGATGGCCAGATTGAATGGACTGCAAAAAAGAGAAGTCAGCAGTTCTCCACAAGTGCTACATTTCTGTCAATGTCCAATGTTAATGATGGAGTTCTCCCCAACCCCACTCCCCTTACAGAGGGGGAAAAAGGAGAAACCAACCTATATCAGCATTTAGCTGTTTAAAATGTTATCCTTCCAAGCCTGGCAAAAGCTTCCAGTTCTAATCTGTACAATGCACAGACTGTGTTATATGGAGGAAAAAAACTATTTATGGTCCCAATCTTGTACGACCGAAGCTTTGCTATTGACAATAGGGCTACAGAATCCAGCTCTATGTGACCTATCAAATATTTTCTTCCTTCATTGTGTAAATGAGACCCTTTGGGTTTTATAAAGTAATCCCTTCCTTTTGCTTCGCCCATCTCTAGATTTGGCTTGGTAATGAAATAGAAACCTCATAAGGTGAAGTTTTTGTTTTTTGCTTTGATTCCATCAAATCTGTCTGATTTCCCATACACACTCACAACAAACATGAAAACTGTGTGTTGGTCATCCCCCCTCCCCCAGACCCCCCAAAAGGACCATTTTTGAGAAAAAACAGCTTGAGATTAGTAGTAGTTAAAGACAAATTTCACTGTTCTAGAGCACCTAAGGGACCTGCAAAATCTAGGTCGCTAAGCAGAGAGACGAGTCTTTAGAAGAAGGTCAAACAAAATTATATTAGAAACCTGTACTTGTTAGGAAGATAAAGAGCCTTCTAGGTCAAATGCAATTTAAATCAGGTGACTCCAACAATCTTCTACTTGCTAGCATGAAACTACTAATCGTATACTGTGGCGCAAGGTGGAGTGAAATTTTAAACTGATACAAAGGCAGGGATTTGTTCTAGTCAATTTTATGTATCACTACTAGTTACATTAGACTAAGGGACAAGTGGTTCTATAACAGACCAGTATATCACAAACTGTTATGGGAAGAAACAAATACCGTTTGCCACTGAAAAGCTAGGAATGCAGTCTACAAAGTATCTGAGCTTAACAAGCACATCGTTTCAATTACTAACATTTCTCCTCATTTCAGTTCAAACATAATCTTAGTGGCCACTTATTGCTTATATCGGTAGAATACAAACCAAACTCTGTCAGTCCCTTTGGTCAGTAAGAGCTTTGAACAAACTATTCAGAGGGCAAGACATTCCATCTCACTTCAGCAGTCTGAGAAATATGAATTGCTAAAATCATGATGAAACTGGATGCAATAAGAAGAAAGACGTGATTTTAAGGTTCAACAGGATCCACCAAAGCTAGAAACATTGGTCCTGGCCCAGAGAGGAATTTTAGATCCCTGTTAAACTAGGCTTCAGATGAGCTGTTCCCTGTTTCACTGATGCTATGAAACTGTACGGAAAAAGTTGTGTATGTTTTATATTCAGTTCTTCAAAGCAGACCAATCTGGTACCCTTTGTTTTAGGAAGTGACAATACAGTAAAAGAAAGAAAGGTCTGTAAGTGAGGGAAATTTGCAAAATAATATTGATTAAACAAACTCTGCTGTAACAAAGTAGAGGGGGGAGGGAACATCTGCAAAGTAGAAAAGCAGAACCTAAAATACACCATTTTGTGACTGAAAACAGGCCCTGTGTTTGCAGTCAGCACACAGGAAAATCTTCCATTGAAATCCCATTTCCTTACAAGGAAAACCAAATGCCCCTACCCAATCCTTAGCACTGTGTCCACAAGATAAAGCATGGCTTCTTACAGATCCCTTTAGTGCATTCAAAAATGGGTGCTGTCATCTCAGATCAATAGCTCTTTCATTGGCACAGGGCATTTGAGATGCATTTACTGGCAGACACAATCCCATGTGCTGCTCATCTGAATCACCCAGGATTGATCAGCCTGGCTGCAACAGCTTCTGCAAAAATCTGCTCAAAATACTCTGCTCTGAAAAAGCTGTTTCTCTGAAAGTTGCACGCCCGTGATGCTATTGCATTTACAGAGGGGAAAACCCCTCATTTGTACCAAAAGGGAAAAAAAATTCAGAAGTGATGCTTTGGCGTTTGCTGTGTTGACACATTTTGGGTAGTTGGGGATTTAGGTTTCCTAGAAAGCAGGCAGAGACCCCCTTTCAAAAGAACATGGTTTCTCTGTGTCTCAGTGTTGTTACGGAAATATGCAGTAGAGGGCAAAGCCAGCAAATAGCCTAACATGCAAGCATGCATAGCTGCTGCACAAACATTATGCTTAACCCTTTCAATGGAAGCCTGGGATAGAGAGAACTTTTTAGCTGCTGGCCACTGGAGAATACAGTGTGTCATGTACATTGCAGGGTTCGCATGTAGAACTTTGGCTCCGCAAAGCATACACGTAAGTAACGCACCCCTGTATTTCTAGAAGGGAGTAACAGCTGCCGTAGAGTTGTACAGGAATTTTCATTTGTATAAAATGCTGCATAATGAAAAGAGAATACACCCTTAGTACCTGCAGGGGGTGTTTATATATGATACTACTTTGCATTGTCACATGCATTCTAAGGATAAACATAAATTAAGCTGCACGTAACACACTCAGGCAGCATGAATGCAACATATTGTCCCCATTGGACAGAGTGGAGGATGGAGATGCAGAAAGGTAAAGCAGTTGGTGCAGAGTTGGGACTACAACCCTGGTTGTCCCGCTGCCGTGCTCTAACAACAAGGCTGCACCCCGTTTTCTCTGTGTTGGGCCCTTCTGGAGCAAAAGCAGGATTCTTATAGCCAATTTATCCTCCGACAGCTTAGTTTGCTCATTGAAAGGGTTAACGTGGTGCATGCTTAAGTGCCAGCACACCCTAGAGACAGTCCTTGACTGCACATTGCCCCCCATGCCTGTTACCTCCTCCTCCAGTTGGTACGGTACCTGGGGTTGGAGTGGCTTCAGAGTGCAGCGCCAGGTATAGGGAGGGGAATACAAGGACAGCATAGAAGAGAGGGGAAGAGAAAACAAAGGAATATATAAAACCACAGCACATTAGTGAGACTGGGGATCAGTCATACACACAGTCACCAAAGGGTTTAAGAGAGAAAGAAAATGCATTAGCTACACCGCAGCAATCCCCTTTCTGTGCATAATAACTATAGCTATTTGCATAGGCCAAAGAGAAGGAAGATTCCATTGAGTCAGAGATGAATCATCATTCTCAGTTACACATACCCCACCTCCCCAGCAAATGGATGCTAATGGTCAGGTTCCGCCCTTGTGCGCGGCTTTGATTAAGTAAAGCATTTAAGCATGTGCTTACATCTCATTCAAGGGAGGACAAAATTGGACCCTCCACGTTCAGCTTGCTCTAAAATCTAACTAAAGGGCTTATTATGTACATAAGGTGAAACTGACCCAAGCTGTTGTAATCTATGAATCAAACAGAGCTGTGTTTAATTTTACCCTCGTGGTTGAATGCAGCCTGACAGAAATGGAAGCAACATCTGGGTAAGTTTATTTATGACTGAGTCTGGTATCCATCTCTGAAGACAGAACTAAAGCAGTTGATTTCAAGGTTTGGTTTTCTGAACCTTCTTCCACTGAGTTCCAAGTTCTTTTTAGGGGGTCTATAGCAGGTATGTAAAAAATCAAACCAAAGTCATTTAAAGCTGCTAAACAACGCTCTGCTTACTGAGGTTACATACCATTCATTAACAGAATCCTGCCCAACCTAGCCTTGTGTTAGATATATACCAGTTCTCGTGTTCTAGGGCCAAATCCTGCTTGCCTTACTCATGCAGCTTCAGTGAGACTGTGTAAGTAAGTGAGATGAGCAGATCTCACCCTTACTCTTTGTTTTCACTAATGGATAATGGATTGGTTGACCTGTCAAAGCCAACTCTCAATGAGTGCCATTGTCTGTCTTTACCAAGGAAAGGGAAACTTGCCTTTTTTAGGCTGACAATTCATGGCCTGTATTTACAGTGGTATCTGAGATAGTTATTTCTCATTCCTAGTAAGGGGAAGGAAATGTAATGCATCTCAGCTAGCACTGTGGGATAGCGGTGGGCAAACGCCGCAGATCTGTTAGGAAAGTAGAACTATCCGTGACCCAGCAAAGTGAACAACAAGCATATGTGGAACAAACCACCCTAAGGGTTGTTATTCATGTCCTCTAAGCAGGGCATTCACTGAAGCCGCTGCTTCAGAAAAAAACAGTGTATGGCAGGGACCCACGCCACTGAACGTCAGTTTTGCCAATATTACAATACTGTGTAACAGTTCTGGAGCCTGTCTGCTTAAAGACATATAGGAAGCCTTTCATTTTTACTCTATTTTCAATAGGATACCTTTCCAACCCACCATACAATTAAGGAGGAAAAAGAAAAGCAAACACCCATTAAATAAAATCGGAAGTTTAATTGAATTGTATGTCAGTGAGTGCTATAGAAGAGAAAGAGACAGCTTTGTCTGTCTTCCATCCCTAAGGGCTCCTGACCTTTCACTCCATTTGATCGATGTCTCACAATGGGCGTTTTATCCTATTATGAATCTGTGAGTTGTGGCAGTTTCCTTCTGCGGGTCGTCTGTTGATTACTGGGGTGATGGGAAAGTGGCACCATGCCTCCCCCAGCCTGTCTCTGCAGTGGCTCTTGGGGTTTTGTGGACTAGAGAATGCATTTGTTTTATAACTCTTCTTGCACCAATAAAAACAATTTAAGATTGGCAGAAAATATGTGGGCCCTGCTGTGCGATGCTTAGCACAGGGGAGTTGCTATTGCTGCTGTGATTTGAATGTTCCAAAGACCTAAAAAGGTAATACAGGTGGGGGTTTATATTCAGAAAGCGCTTGATCCAGATAAGCGTGTGGCCTAACCTAACTTGGGTTACGATAGCTTACCACAATAAATGACCTCCCTAATGGATGAGGGATATTGATAAAGGGTTGTCAAGCACACGGTTTTGGCAGAAAAAACGGTTGCTAACCTTTCCATAATGGTGGTTGCTCGAGAGGTGTTGCATATGTCCATTCCAGAGTAGGTGGGTGTACACCCCGAACACAGTCGCCAGACATTTTTCCCTCAGTGGTACCCGTCGGGTTGGCTCTGGCGCCCTCTGGTGCAGTGCGCTCATGGCACTGGTATAAAGGGATCAGTTGATCTCACGCTCCCTCTGTTCCTTCTTTCCGGCCAACTCAGGAAGGAGGGTGGGTCTTGAAATGGATATGTGCAACATATCTCGAAGAACAACAGTTATGGAAGGGTTAGTAACCCTTCTTTCTTCTTTGAGTGATTGCACATGTCCATTCCAACGTAGGTGACACCCAAGCAGTTGTACAGGTGGTGGCCTCGGAGTTCACGGACATCCTGACTGCAACACAGCTCGACCGAAACTGCCACCGTCGCTGGCCTGTTGAGTGATGGTGTAATGAGTAGCAAACGTATGCACGGACATACAAGTCACTGCTCTGTCGATGTCCTAGACAGGGACATGGACCAGGATCACCGCTGATGATGCCTGCGCTCTTGTGGAGCGGGCAGTCAGGATAGCTAATGGTGGAGCACCTGCCTGCTCGTAGCGTGTGCGAATGCACAATGTGATCTAGGGTGAGATCCTCTGAGTCGAGATAGGGAGGCCTCTCATCCTGTCAGCTACCACTGTGAAGAGTTGGGTGGTCGTCTCTATGTAGAATGCTCAGGCACGTCTGAGATCCAGAGGGTGGAGACGTTGCTCCTCCCTGTTCATGTGTGGTTTCGGGTAGAAAACCGGCAAGAGGATTGACTGATCACTGTGAAACTGCAAAACCACCTTCTAGGCCCTTGAGGAAACAAAGAGACCTCTCATGTAAGAAAACAGAACAGTTATCCACCGGGGAGTGAAATGCTGAAATCGCTGTGAGGTGTACCTTAATCGATGAAATCGCTAACCCCTGTTGTTTCAGGTGTAACAAGTACTCAAGCATGACCTGTAGTGATGACTGCATGGGTGAGAGACCGTGTTGGGAAGCCCAAATGGAGAACCATTTTCATTTGGAGAGGTATGTAGCCCTGGGAGAGGGCTTCCTGCTACCTAACAGGACCTGGCAGACCTGCTCCGAGCAGGCCAGCTCTGCGGTATTTAGCCATGTAGCTTCCAGGCTGTCAGGTGGAGGGCGCCAAAGTTCAGGTGGAGCAGTCAACAGTGGTCCTAGAAGATCAGGTCGGGGAGTCCAGGGAGCAGTATCGGAGTTGCTAAGGAAAGGCCTAGCAGCGTGGCAAACCAGTGCTGACGGGGCCAGGCTGAGGCTATGAGAATGACCCACGCCCTGTCCAGCTCGATTTTCAGCAGAACCTTGTGCATGAATGGGATAGGAGGGAAAGCGTAGAACAGGTGCTCCACGGGAGCAAGAAGGCATCTGTAAGTGAACCCCGGTCTGTGACCTTGCAGGGAGCAAAACTAGTGACACTTTCTGTTGAGTCTGGTCACAAACAGGTCTTTGGGGGAGTTCTGCACCGCTGGAAAATGTCCCTCACGATGTCTGGGCAAAGGAGTCACTCATGGTGATTGGAGAAAGATCTGCTGAGGTGATCTGCCAGCTTGTTCTGTGCTCCCGGAAGGCGAGAAGCCTTGAGCTGGATTGAGTGGACTATGCAGAATTCCCATAAGCAAACTGCTTCCTGACACAGGGGGGAAGGGTGAGCCTTCCCTGTCTGTCGAGGTAGAACATGGCTGCAGTGTTCTCTATGAGCACTAGTATGCTCCTGCCAACAATGTGAGGTGACTGCTCTGAGCTCTCTGGTGTTGCTGCAGCAAGGAGAGTAGCTCCAGTGACCGTCACCAGCGTTCAGAAAGAACTGATGGGGCGCAGGGTCGGCCTGGCCCTTTCTACCTACACTATGGGCCGCCAGAGCCGACAAGTCACCACTGAGAGAGAAATTTCCACCAACTGTGCTTGGGGCAAGCGCACACCTATATTAGAATGGACATGTGCAATCACTCGAAGAATTGTACTTGACATCTGTATCTGAAGATGGTTGTTGCTAGACTGGGTCAAGCTGTAGCATGCAGTAGGCCTTGCAAAGAACACAGCATGCCAGTTATTGGTCACAGTTGTTGACTACACTTTCTCTTTGTAGGTTGGCAATAGCTCAGTCCAAGAGTGCCAACCCACCTTGTTTCTCTGTCAACAGAATCCTATCAGGAGTTATACAGTAGTGAGCTATTATACTTCAGAGTTTGGGCACCCTAAAAGTAAGAGAGGTTGTTCCCTCATGTTCTACATACTGGCACAGTCTCAGAAATGCACTTTGTAACTACAGGGAAGATACAAAGCTATTTCAGAGGAATTCCTAGACCTGGGTAAATACTGTTGGATAGTTCCCTCTGGTGGCTACCTGAAGTGTGCACTCTCTTCCAGGAAAAAGAGAGAGCTCAGCTCAGTAGAAGCATCTTTGTGGATCAATGGCACAGTCCATCTGGGGGATGGATTAAGTGGACCCTCCCACCCCAAATTTAAACCCTGTCAGCTCTGATTCTAACCACTAGACAACAGTGCTGTCTCCCTTTGATTGTCTTCCTAGTTATACTGATAACCTAGATCTCCTGACACTGGCTGGGTTAAAGTTTTCTCCTCTTCACTGGACCCTCCTAGGGCAAATGCCAAAATACTGTATGTTGTAGCTTTTGAAGGTCAATTACAAATATCCTGGCATAAACCCCACCATTAATGACTAAACACACAGTGATCTCCAAAACCCCTTAATTAACTTGGGTCTTTTCCTCACTCCCTTCATTTCTTTTGCGAGATTGAGTGCAGACCCCCAACAGCCTCTCCTTCCTGCCTGTGGGCTAGCAGCTAGAGACTAACATTCCCCATCTACCCTGACAGCGCACCAGGTTGGGCAATGAAATCCAGTCGAGGTGCTGCTTCTCGTTCGATCTAGCAGCTTGTCAAACTGCAGGGATTCCCTAGCAGCCTGCCAATGCCTGCCGCCTTTGGAATGGTTAGATCACCCAGCTACGTTTTTGTATCCCATGGATACGTCCTCGCTGGATCGCTCTGGCCCACTGTCTCCCAAGCATAACATCGACACAGCAGTATTGTTCAAAGAGATTTTTCAATGTAAATACCATTACTGGAATCTGCACTCAACATTTCTGTGGTGAACTCCATGTGGAGCTACAGTAAAAGGGTCATAGAAATGTATGGCTGGAAGGGATCTCAAGAGGTCATTTACTCCAGCCTCCCACACTGAGGCAGAACCAAATAAATTGGTTCTAGACCATCCCTGATGGGAATTTTGTCTGACCTGGTCTTTAAAATTTCCAGTGCCAGGGATTCCACAACCCCCCTAGGTAACCCTTTCCTGTGCTTAATTATCTTTGTAACTAGAAAGTTTTCTTAATATCTAACCTAAATCTTCTTTAAGCAAAGGCCTACTAGAAAGTTTCTCACTCTGCATACACTGTCTCCCCATAGAGTATATATGTAACTGATGCTACACAGCATGTGAAGAGGGCAGGCATCAAGAAGACTGTCTACTGCTGTGCATGGAGCAAGCATTTCTCTGTAGTTGTAAAAGAGAGAAACCCTCATGCTTCAGGGCATAAGACAACCACTAACTGCCTGGGGTCAGGAAGAAACTTCCCATAAGGGCAGGTTATTGTTTCATAATTGTCCTCTCTGAGGGTTTTTGCACTTTCCTCTGAAGCATCAGGTGCTGGCCATTGTTGGAGACAAGATACTGAGGTAGATGGACCATTATTCTGCTGCACTATGGCAGTCCCTATATTCCTAAATTTGGAAAAGCAGTCACTACTTTTGCCTAACTAGCTACTCATATGGCCCTCATTAATGGAGTATCTGAGCACTTCAGAATCATGAATGGATTTTATCTGCACAACATCCTTAACAGTGCTATCCCCATTTTACAGATGGGTAACTAAGGCATAGAGTAGAACTTTCTTGCTCAGGGACTATCGGCTCTGCTCATGTCACAGTGAGAAAGTTACCCCCTTTTCCCTTAGTAAAACCACATACTGCATGTGATTTTCAGTGTAGTCTGTAGTTTTGGAAGATGTGCATAATGCTCCTTGTGTTTTAACTCCTCTGGGAGCATGTACCCCACCCGCAAAGTCACAGCAATGCTCTCCTCCACTTACCTTCATTCAGCGGGGCTGGCGACTCTTCCACAATGGATTCTCCGTCTCCCACCTGTGTCCTAGCACGCAGGAAGAATCTATAGCGCGAGATGGGGTCTGTCCTCTTGAGCGTAAACCTTGTTTGGTTTGGGGAGAAGGTCTCTACCAGTGTTCTGCCCATTTTGGATCCATTAACTGGGGAGAAAGGCAAGCTGAATAGGCTTCAGCTTTGTTTCAGACACATGCTATGTTACACATTTCATCTCCTCCCACCTTGGGCCAGGAGCGGAAATCAGCTGATGGTCCAATATACTTCTGGATTGACTATGGGTCAACAGAAAGATTTGTGGAGATGCAACAAAACCTGTCTGAGAGAGCAACAGCAGCCAGCTGCCTCCTGGTGGTGTGTGCATTGAGTAATGGCACAGCTGAACTGTACTGACTAGCATAGGTGCTGGAATTAAGGGTGCGGGGGGGTGCTGCTGCACCCTCTGGCTTGAAGTGGTTTCCATTATATCCAGGGTTTACAGTTTGGTTCAATGGCTTTCACACCCAACCCCTCCCACACACACTACACAAATTGTTCCAGCACCCCTCCTGGCTAGAGATGAGATTCACACCCATGGAGAGGGCTGGTACATGTCCTGCTTAAGCTCTCACAATGAGACTTGTATTGTGCATAGTCCTTGTGTTTGGCCCTCTGCATTGCAGTGAATTCCATACTGTTTGGGGATACTGTGGGGGCAGTTTCACTCTTTCTGCAGTAATCTTCCGGGAGGGAGGGGGGTGTGCGTGTGTGAGAGAGAGAGAGAGAGAATCTGCTGTACTGATCTCACTGTATTTAGACTTTGCTTGCAATTTATTATTGCAGCCTGGGGCTAAGCCTTATTTTTCCTCCTATGGCCAAGTACTGGGAGATGCTGAGCATCTGCAACTCCTCCTGGCTTACACTGAAATATTGCAGGCACTCAGCACTGCAGCAGGACTTGTCCCCTTCAGAAATAGCAGATGTTTTACCTTGTCATGGAAGTCTCTAATTCTTTAAAGCGCTACTCTTGTGCCGTCATATTTTGGAAAATACCTTTTAGCACCTGGGAGAAGGAACTCTTTCGGGGTTTGGCACTGAATAACCTACTCACCCAAGAGAATACTTGATGAGTTAAAAATAATTGATCAGTTGAGAAAAACAAACAGGTGTGGAACGTACAGGCTTGGTATCTAAGGTTGTATCCAGTGAGAATTCCATTGGGGTGTTCAGGGTGGTCCCATTCCAAAGTGATGGTTTCCAGGTTAGGCTGTCGGATTCTGATATACCTGGGGGCACTGGGTACTTGGGAGGAGGATGGGGCCAGGAGGGAAAAGGAAAGAAAAGACAACATATCTTACAACATGGTACACGTTGCAGGGTGGCTTACATAATAAAGATGCACCCACAACGATCAGATGCTAATGGAACAAAAACTGCATTAAAAACCATACAGCAGCACTGGGGGTTTCATAAGCACGCTGAGACTCAGAACAATTCTGCACATGAATCCAACACTAGATTCAACAGAATTTGAATTATTCACTATTCATTAACTGAGATGCGTGTACTGCAATCTGATAATTCTCTGCTCATGGGACCCATACCAGTGCAGTGTGCATATCATACCTATGGTCAGAAGGGACTGTCATGATAGTTAGTCTGACCTCCTGCACATTGCAGACCACAGAACCTCACCTACCTACCTACCTCCTCCTGTAATAGATCCATAACCTCTCACCAAGTGACTGAAGTCCTCAAATCATGGTATAAAGACTTCAAGTTACAGTGACTCCCCTATTTACACTAGTTTAAACCTGCAAGGGGCTTGGGCCCTAAGCTGTGAAAACCCCCAGGCTCTCTGGCAATCTGACATGGGGAAAATTGCTTTTTGACCCCAAATATGGTGATCAGTTAGACCCTGAGAATGTGGACAGGACCCACAAGCTAGGCACCTGCCCAAGAATTCTCTGTAGTAACTCATAGACCTCCCCATGCAATGTCCCACCTCTGGGTGTTGGAGATATTTGCTCTGTGGGGGCTAGACCTACCACCACCACCACAGTTTGCAACAGGCAATCGCCTTTGGCTCACATGGTAGACACTTGTGTTTTGGAGATGAAGAACTAGTGTTCTTGGCCCCATTTCATAACTTGTATGTGTAGTTTATCTACTGAGATACCTTTTGTGGGTATCATTACACCAACCCTCTGCACCTGCACCCCGACGTCTTGTTTCCTGTTACACAGAGAGGCTTGTCCAGGTCTCTTCCCCTGCCAAAGAAAAACTACAACTGCTGTTCTGTTTATAACAATGCCCAGTAAGGTATCCTGCCACTGCTACCTGTGTAATCTACTGCAGAGCAGGGAGGGCCTGGTTTACTAACATCGTCATACAATAAAACCACATATGGCCAGGCCCCTGGCTGGCGTTAATTCATCTTTTGACAGGAAGGCTACACATTGACGAGCCAATATGAGGTGCAGTTATTGAACAAGTTGCCCTGGGATACTTCGCAGTTTTCCCTAATCCTCCTCCAAGCCAGTCAAACCCCTTGTTAAGATATCAGTTTTGCTCCCAGCAATCTGAGGAAACCGTCCTCAGTGTACAGGGATTTCTAACACCTGCACTGTATGAGTATGCTTAGAGCTACAGGAAGGGTTTTTCCACCTTTAGCATATCTCCTGTGGAAGCAGGAGGCTCCCTAAAGGGGGGGGGAGGGGAGCACCATTGCCCAAACCCTGCCCTCTGCACTGCCCCTTCCCCTGAGGCCCCACACCGTGCTGTGCCGAGGCCCCACCCTCATGGCGCTCTGAGCCCCTGCCCTTGTGCTGCCCCGTCTCCCTGAGTCACCGTCCTAGCACTGCCCCTTCCCCTAAGGCCCCGCTCCCATGCTGCCTTTTCCCCCCAAGACCCTGCTCACTCTCCTCCCGTGCTTCACTTTCCCTTACAGCCGGTAAAAAATGGGAGGGCTATCAGTTCTAAAAGTGACGAGGACCTGGGCCCCCTTGTTCCAGTGCTCCTGCCTAGCTTTTGTGAGAGCTTGGAAGATCACCCAGCTCCCCAAGAGTGTCTTTTGGCTGGGATGTCACATATGCAGCAGTGTGCACCCCCCCTCCCCTTTCCATTCTTGCTCACTTGGGCCCAAGCCACACAACCTGGATGGCTCTTGGAATGTACAGCTTGTTTGCGTGCAGCAGTAGGGACAAGATTTTGCCCTTAAATCCTAGCGCTTTGTGTAGAGAGGGCTGGTTGGCAGGTCCCATTTGGCTCGTTGAAATACGTGGTTATGGTGATGTGGCTTGCTTTTCAAATGCAAAGACTGATTCAAGTTGTACTGCCAGTTGATGGGGTGGCTCCGTCCTGAGATGTGCATGTGACTTCCCAGTGATCAGAGTGGCACATGGTGCACCCAGAGGCACAATTGGTAACCTTTCAGTCACCCTTTGCTCAAAACCAGAGAGCAGCTCAGCAGGGCAACTGAATTGGTGTATAGATGCATTTGCTGGTGGTGTGTTTGTCTGACCGGTATTTGATATGTCCTATTGAAACTGGACAAACTGCATGGCAACTTCAATGCTCCTTAGCACAGAACAGTTTTAGGGTAAGGCCAGGGGCGCCCCATTGTGTGCTCGGCACAGCACACATACCATAGGCCCTGTCCTGAAGCGCACATGGCCGAAACGTTCAGAGCTGGCAAAGCAATAACTTGCTAGGTAGTGTGGGCCAAATCCTGCTCTCAGCATTGTTCATAACTGCAGAACTTGATTCAGATTCTGTCATTAAGCTGGGATATTGAACAGGGTTTGTTTTTTAAATGGAAGCTTTGAAGCTAATACATATCAATTTACACCCATTAGAACAGTGAGGAGCTTCTTAAATAATTTCCTGACAAGCTGCACCTCCTGAGAGCGTTATCAGACCTGGTTTTGTGCTGAAGGGAGTTATAAAACCAGCACAGCTTGCTGGGATTTGTATGTGCACAAAACTAGGTCAAATGGTACAGAACCATAACACACAGCTAATGGACTACATCTAGAAAAGCTCTTCCTTTTTTGGGCAAACCCATTGTAGGAGTTTTGCATTATGAAGGACTTCAGGATTTGGCCCAATGGCTTTATTTCCCCCTTTAATTACAACTTTCAATGAACGATGATACTTTTACTCACAGTAAGGACCACAGCGGAAGAGTTACAGCCTCCATCATGGCTCTCCATTCCACATTGTTACTTATAATGCACAGGACCATAAACATAAACCTTAAAAGATTCATTGCCAGTTGCTAAAAGGTGCAGCGCTAACAAAAATCTACTGAGCTGTTTACAAATAGGATCTAGAGTAGTGGTTCTTATTGAAGCTGTTCCATTTTAATTAACCATTAATTAGGCCAAAGCAGCAAAAATGAGACACCCTCTGTAGTTCAGAGGTTGGGGTAGTTCCCTGGGATGTTGAAAACCTGGGTTCAATCCCTATGTCTGGTTGGGGAGGAGCAGACCTTTGAAGAGGGAGTACCCTTAACCTTTGCTGTTGAAGCTGTTCCACTTTAGCTATGAATTGGGGTAAAGCAAGCACTAATAGTAAAGGGCCCTCTGTAGCTCAGAGGTTAGTGTTTGTTCCTGGGATGCTGAAAATCCTGGTTCAGTTCTTCCCTCTACCTGGGGAGGGACAGGTCTTTTGAGAGGGAGTGCCCTTAACCTTTCCTCTTGAAGCCGCTTCCACTTTAATTAGCTATGAATTGGGGCAAAGCAAGCACTACTAGCAAAGGGCCCTCTGTAGCTCAGAGGTTAGTGTTTGTTCCTGGGATGCTGAAGATCCTGGTTCAGTTCCTCCCTCTACCTGGGGAGGGACAGGCCTTTGGAGAGGGAGCGCCCTTAACTTTTCCTCTTGAAGCTGCTTCCACTTTAACAAACTATGAATTTCTCCAAAGCAAGCTCCTCTAAAGAGATGCCTTCTCTGGTGTAGAGGTTTGGGCATTCCCCTGGGATGCTGAGGGCCCTGGTTCAATCCCTGCCACGGGGAAGGGGTTTACAACATGTATTGGCTGCCTCTGGGGTCTTTTACTTAAATATTTATTGGGGGGGAGGCACCTTAAAAAAGCAAGTCACTCTTTTGTCCCCCGCAGCTAGGCTACCCGCCCAGGCTGTGGGAGACCCCAGGCCCAACCCCTCCTCTGCAAGGGGTTGTGCCAAGGCTCTCCCACCTCCCAGGAGACCACCCACCTCCCGCCTCCCGCTTACACCTCCCAGCCCCACCCCCCACCTGGCCCCCCAGCCACCGCCCCTCCCGCCTCCCAGGCCCACCCCTCGCCCCCACCCACCACTCTTGTGAAGTGAGCGATCTCTGTTCAAACCCCCTTCTGTTTCCAGAAAGACAAGGGCCTTCCGCAAGCGAAAGGGGACCTAAACAGGAACCTCCCACTTCTCTCCTGGGAGGTGGGACAGCCTTCTCCAAATCCTTTTAAATAGTCAGAGGAAGGATTTGAACCAGAATCCTCCACCTCCTAAGCAAGCAACTTAACCACTGGACTATAGAGTGACCCTAGACTGTTGCCCGGCCCAGTTATAGTTAACTAAAGTGGAGACAGCTTCAAGAGAAAAGATACACGCAGCTCAAATCCTAGCTCCTTCAGGACCAGGGACTTGAACCAGGCTCTCCCACACCATAGGTACAAGCCCTGGCCACCAGGCTATACAGGGCTGCTTGCAAATTACCTTTGCTTTGGACCATTTAAGAATTAATTAAAGTGGAAGCCACTTCAAGAGGAAAGGCCAAGGGCACTCCCTCTTCAAATCCCTGCCCCCCATTCAGCACAGGAAAGACTTGAACTAGGGTCTTCAGCAACTCAGGAAAGAGTCTTATCCCCTGAGCTACAGCACGCTTCTTATCTTTAGAGCTTGCTTTGGCCCCATTCATAGTTAAAGTGGAACCGTTTCAACAGGAAAGGTTAAAGGAGCCCACACAGCAGAATACCTTATAGCCCAGCAGTTGGGACCACAACTTGAGAGGTAGGTGGGTGCTATACAAATTCCTTTTCATCAAACATCACTCTCCCCCAGCCTTGCTGACTACCCGAAACACTAGATGATAGAGTGATTCTCAGGCTGTCTGTGGCCCAATTAAGAGTTATTTAAAGTGGAACAGTTTCACCAACCCACATGAAAATATCCTTAGCTCAGGGCACTCACTTGAGAGACGGCAGATCCCTGTTCATCTCACTTTTTAGAGGAGAAGGAGGGGAGGGCTGTGTGGGGTGTGTGTGTGTTAAACTATCATCTACTACAGCCCACGTGAGGCCCCTAACCACT